AAAAAGTGAGCTCAAGGCCAGTCTGAACTGCATAGTGAGACCCTGTCTCAAAAAAAAGAAAAAAAAATCTGGGCCATCCACCTCTTGGACACATTCAACTTGACTGAGTCTGGGGGATGCAACCGCTACACAGGTCACTGGGAGAGTACATGGTAGCCATTGCTACTACTGGGAGAATCTACAGCAAGGTGTTTAGGAGCTATAATACTCCTCAGCATGGAAATAGTTAACAGGTGCCATTTGGCGGCCATCTTAACTACTGGCACTTGGTCGCCATCTTAAATCTCTGGACACTTTGGCTAGGGAAGTCCAAGGGCAAAGCAAAGGTTGAGTGAAGCCAGGCGTGGTGGCGCACACCTGTAATCCCAGCACTCAGGAGGCTGAGGTAGGAGGATCATCGCGAATTTGAGGCCAGCCTGGGCTACAAAGTGAGTTCAGGCCAGCCTGAACTGCACAGCGAGACCCTGTCTCAAAAAGACAAAAACAAATTAAAAAAAAAAAAAAGGCTACTTGATACTGAGGGTTGGAAGGGGGTTCCTTAGTCCTTCCAATCGTCTTTTTGTTTGTTTGCTTTTCTTCCGGTACCAGGGATCGAACTCATGACCTCGCGCTTGCCAGGCAGGTGCTGTGCCGCTGAGCTACATCCCCAGCCCCAGTCCTTCCAATTTTGATCCCTGGAAAGTGAGCAGAACTAAGCCTTTTCCGAATGGCTGAAGAAAGATCCACATAACCAAACCAGCCCTGCTGTGTGCGCTGAGGGCAAATGATTGTTACAAGGGCGGCCCTGCATAAGACTTCTGGCTTCACTGGCTCTTAGTTGAATTTGAAGAAAAAAATCACCAATTTTACTGGGCATGGCACTGAGGCAGTAAGATCACTGTAAGCTCAAGTCCAGCCTGGGCTCCATAGTGAGTTCAAGGCCAACCTTAACTGCATAGCAAGACTATCTCAAAAAACAAACAAATAATTACTGATTTTGGGAGGCACGCAGCCGGAAGATACATTACTCTTTAGCTCTGTTGTTGTGACACTGCTCTACACAGTGGGTTAGAAACTTCTCCAGGGAATGTGACTCCTCTGTCCTCTGGGGAAAAGTTGCTTTTCTTTATCTTTCGTGGTCTTCCAGGGGAAAGTTACCTTTTGCTATCTTCCCCCATTCTCCATGGAAAAGCTATCTTGTATCCAAATATACTGCAGTGGGCTGGGGATTTAGCTCAGCGGCACAGCATCTACCTGGCAAGTGCAAGGTCGTGAGTTCGATTCCCAGTGCCGGGGGAAAAAACAAAAAATCAAAAAAAAAAAAAAACCCAAAATACCAAATATACTGCAGAATTAGTTATTCTTTAGAAAAGACTAAAAAGATGAGCTATGGGTCTTTCTACTCAATTTCTTTTTCCCTTCCTTCTTCTCTCCCTCTCTTTCTACCTCCCTCCTTCCCTTCCTCCCTTCCTTCCTTCCTTGTGCTGGAGATTAACCAGGGGCACTTTACCAGAGCTACATCCATTTCCATTCTTTAAAAAAAAATTTTTTTTTTTTTTGAGACAAGATTTCACTATGTAGTTCAGGCTGGTCCTGAACTCACTATGTAGTCCAGGTTGGTCTTGAACTTGTGGTGATCCCCCAGCCTCAGCCCCGCAAGTGCTAGGATTACAGGCGTGCACCACCAGGCCTTTGTTTTTTTAAATTTTTTTTGTTTTGTTTTGTTTTTTGTTTTTGTTTTTCTCCGGTACCAGGAACCGAACTCACGACCTTGTGCTTGCCAGGCAGGCGCTTTGCCGCTGAGCTAAATCCCCAGCCCTGTTTTTAAAAATTTAAAACAGGGTCTTGGTAAGTTAATTCAGGCAGGACTTGATCCCCCACTTCATCCTAAGTGTTGTAATTGCGGATCAGGGACTTTTCTTTAGATTGACACAACCCAGATCATCCAGTTACCTACAGAAAACAGCAGATTCCATAACCTGTAACCACCCTGGAATTTCGAACTACCTGCTTGCCTGATACACTTCTATAAAACTCCCTAGATAACCCTTGTGTCTACAACCCCTAAGCACAATGCTCTCAGTTGGTGTCAGCTCCCATCTTGTTTTTTGTTTGTTTTTCCGGTACCGGGGAACGAACTCTCGACCTTGCACTTGCCAGGCAGGCGCTGTGCCCCTGAGCTAAATCCCCAGCTCCTCCCCCATCTTCTTTGGTTTGCTAACTTTTCTTTTCTTTTTTCTTTTTTTTGTACCAGGAATCAAACTCAAGACCTTGGGCTTGCCAGGCAGGAACTTGCGCCACTGTGCTATATCCCCGGCAAGGTTTTCTAGCTTTTCAAATGTTTCATTCTCCTGGCCTCAACAACTTGTCCTTGAGTCACTGCCTGTTAGACTGGCTAGCAGTGAACTTTGAGTCCCACTTTTTTTTTCCAGCACCGGGAATCGAACTGAGGATCTCGCGCTTGCCAGGCAGGCGCTGTGCAGCTGAGCTAAATCCCCAGCCCCTTGATTCCCGCTCTCAATAGGCGTTCCCAGAGCATGCCTGTGGCCATCTTGATTGTGGGCAGATGCCTTGGTTCTCCAAAAACGTCCGCTGGCGGCCATGTTTAGTAATGGCATGCAGGGCCACGCTGAACGTTAGAGGAGCCCCTCCTCCCTCTCACCTCCATCAGGAAGAGGCCACGCGATCGTGCCTCCGCGACCATCTCTCGAACTTCTGCGGCGTTCACGCCCATGGGCTTCTCACACAGAACAGCCTTGCCGGCTGCCAGACACATCAGCACCGTGGCCTTGTGCTGAGGGTTCTGGGTGCCAATGTAGGCCACCTCTAAAGTTGGAGGTAGTCAAAAGTCAGCGGTCAGGCAGCACGAGACGTGGGAGACCCGCCCACAATCAGGCCCCACCATGGACACGTGCTCACATCCTAGTTTCCCATTAGGAAGGAACTACACACTTGCGGTCACCTCTACACATTCTCTGTTAGTGTTCTACTTCCTGTCTATGAAGTGTGGGTCTCCACTGCACCCCTTTTTTTTCCAAGTTGAGGTCATGCTATGTTGCCCATGTTGGGGCAGATTAGAAGGATATAAATAAATACCCAGGGCAAAACCTAGATGACTAACATTGTAAGGTCATCACATGCTTATCTGTGTACCATGCCCTTGAGAAATGTACTACTTGTTCCTCACGCTTACCAGATCCCCAACTGACCATAACCCCTTACTCAGAAAGGAAGGCTAAGACCCAAATTGACCTGGGTCACAGTAAGTGAAACAGTTATTTTTAGAAACCAGGGGACCGGTCTAAGCCTGAAGTACACCTGGAACTCACTGGGCATCGGAGTGGTATGCTCCCTATTTTAACACCGCTCTGTTGGGATAGCTTTTCTCCTGCTTTTTTTTTTTTTTTTAGATAGGGTCTCGCTATGCAGTTCAGGCTGACCTTGAGCTCACTTTGTAGCCCAGGCTGGTCTCGAACTCGCAACGATCCTCCTGCCTCAGCCTCCCGCGTGCTAGGATTACAGGCGTGCGCCACCACGCCCGGCTCCTTTGCTTCTTTAGAAATTTAAACTTGGTTCCCACTGCAGAGGGCTGACTCTGGAGTGCGATTCAACACCGTGACAGACCAAACTCATTCCTGAAGTTCCGCCTCCAACCCGGGGAGCCTCGCGTTTCCTACAGGGCAGCCGGGAGCCAGCGCCCCCGCTACCCTCGCAACTCACCCACGTTCGGATCCTCGGCCAGCTCCTGGTAGGAGCCGTAGGCTCTGGGGATGCCGTGTTTCTGCGCAAACTCCCGCGCCCTGCTCAGCTCGCGGGCCGCTACCGCCACCACCTGGAGGGCGCCGGGATCACAGGGGTTGGGGCCGGACGGCAGGCGTGAGGATGCCGGGCAGGGCAGGAGAAGCGGCGGGGCAGGGCAGGAGGAGCGGCGGGGCAGGGCAGGAGGAGCGGCGGGGCAGGGCAGGAGGAGCGGCGGGGCAGGGCAGGAGGAGCGGCGGGGCAGGGAGAGCGGCGTCCTCGGGGCCGGGAGGAGGCGGGCGGGGATGGGCGCTGCGTCCCGGGAAACATCTCGGGAAAACAGTGATCAAGCCCCCTACTATCTGCATAGTAGCTTTTGCTCACGGTAGGTCAAATAAGATTTAGGAAAGCCTTCAGGACCCAGGTTTACAGGACCGACGTGGAAAAGAGAACGTGGGAGGAGGGAGACAGCCGTCGTCGACAGCCCTGGGAATCGCTGAGTCCCGGCCCCTCGCTCCCCGCCCGCTACGCCCCGCGCGGCTCTTCCCCGAGGGGTGCAGACCTGGTGGTCGGAGCGGGGCAGCGAGCACAGCACAAGCGTGAAGTCGCTGGAGATAAGGCCGGCAGACACGATGCCCCAGCGGAGCGGCATCTTCAAGACTCCAAGCCCGGATACTCTGAGAACCACTGCTCGCTTCGCAGAGCTAATACTAAATCCAAAATTTAAATCACAAGGCGTATTAAAAAAAAAAAAAAAAAAAAACCACGTCGTAGCCGTGACGCCCCGCCCCCAGCACCGATACCGCTTTCCATTGGCCTCCAGTCAGGAAGCAACGGAGCGGTCCCTTAATTCTAGCGTCCTATTGGAAGAGTGCAGTTTGGCTCCGCCTTTCGGAGTGTCTGTCAACCCCCATCCCATTGACCCGCCTTCCAAACTAATATCTGTACTTCGGACTCGGTTAAGAACTTATCCCGGGGTTCACTGCTGACATAGCACCTCTTAGTCGTCCAGGGGGACAAAGAGAAATAATAGCAAAAATCATAATTACTGATACTCATAAAGCACTACTGTAGCCCAGGCCACCAGCTCCTATGTGGCCTTCTACTAATTTTTCCCCAGAGAACTGGGAAGTTCCAAAGCAAAACACCCCAGATTCTCCTGTGTGTTCGTGTTTTTCTCTCTCTTTTCAGGACCAGGAATGGAATTTAGGGCATCGCGCTTGCTGGGCAGGCGCTGCACTCCTGGACCACCACCTGGCCCCCTTCTGGGTTTTCATCCTAGAGGAAGCAAAGAAAAGCGTTTGTACATCGGCTTGTACCTGAATATTCACAGAAGCATACCACGTAATAGCTCAAGCCCAGATGTCTTGAGCTAGGAAAAGTTTTCAGAATCAAAATGGAGTCACTTAAGAAAAAAAAAAAAAAATGGAGTCACTTTTCTTGTTTTTGGTGGGACTGTAGGGGCGGATTAGAGGGACATAAAAAAAAACAGGCCATGGGCCAGGAATCCAGCTCAGTGATAACTTGCCTAGCATGCCAAAAGGCCTTGAGTTAAACACCAAGATCCACAGAAACAAAAATAAGGTGTTTTTTTTGTGGGCGGGGCGTATCAGGAATAGAACTCACAACCTTGAGCTTGCCAGGCAGGCACTGTGCCACTGAGCTATATCCCTGACCCCCAAAATAGGTTTTTTTTTTTTTGTTGTTGTTGTTTTTATCTTTTTGAGATAGGCTCTGGCTATGCAGTTCAGGCTGGCCTTGAGCTCACTTTGTAGGTCAGGCTGGTCTCGAACTTGCAACGATCCTCCTGCCTCAGCCTCCCACGTGCTAGGATTACAGGCGTGCGCCACCACACCTGGCTCAACTCTCCCATTTTCTGAGAGCTCCCCTTCTTCATTCTTCCATGGAGTGAGGACCTGAACTGAGGCGGAGGTCATTAAGGGGAACACAGCCCCCCTCGACTCTCCTCTAGACACAGTAGTACTAGAGGTTAAACTCAGCACTTTCACACTGAGCTACGTCCCCAACCATTTTTATTTTTTTGAGAAAACATCTAAATTAATAAATGGCCCAGGCTGGGCTTGAATTTGTGATCTTCCTCCTCAGCCTGGGATTATAGATCTGTGCCACCACACCTGGCTGGCTTCACCCTTTTATTTTGAGAGAGGATGGTGGCTTCCTTTCTTAACCTGAAGTCTGATTTTTCCTTCCTGCCTTTTCATGAAGGCTGAAGTTTGTTCTCTAGGGCTGCTACTACAAAGCCTGCTGTTTTCCTTCTGCTCTTAAGACACCTTGAACTTTCCACTCAAATCAGTGAATTGGATATAAATTGTTATAAAAGCATGAAAGCCGGGCGTGGTGGCGCACCCCTGTAATTCCAGCACTCAGGAGGCTGAGGCAGGAGGATCACTGCAAGTTTGAGGCCAGCCTGGGCTACAAATTGAGTTCAAGGCCAGCATGAACTGTGTAGTGAGACTAAAAAAAAAAAAGAAAGTACCAAGTGGTAATATTCAACTTGCCATCCTTGTACCCTTGATTTTTTTGTGATAAAGCGATTGAACTCAGGGACACTGCACTAAACTACTTCCCCAGCTCTTTTAGTTTTTGAGGCAAGATCTTGCTAAGTTCCCCAGGCTGGACTCAAACTTGCAATTCTGCCTCAGCCTCCCAGAGTGTTGGCCTTAGTGTGTGCCATCACACCTGCTTTTTAGTTTTAACTATGTACCTCAGTATTGGGCTGGGGATTTAGCTCAGCGGCAAAAGCGCCTGCCTGGCAAGCGCAAGGTCGTGAGTTCGGTTCCGGGTACCGGAGAAAAACCAAATAAAATAAAATAAAATAAAATAAACTATGTACCTCAGTATCAAAAACCGGGTTAAATAACCCTAAGTTATTGCAGAATGATCAGACCTGCAATCTTCCAAGCGAGTGGACTGGGAAGGCTTAAATAAATGAGACAATGTAATGATTTCAGGGCACCAGGAGGGACTAACTCCCTTACAGCTTCAGTATTCTTTGAGTTAGCCAAAGACTGCTCTGGGCCGCCCATATTTATTTGGTTTTCAAACAAAGGAGGAGGATACTCAAGAAAACAAGGCAATCTCGAAGGACCTTGGGAGAGTTATCCCAAGTAGTAAATTATGTCAATCAGGAGAACTATGTTATCTCCAGGAAGGCCTTCACAGCAGGAGTGAGATGCCTGCAGCTGCAGTCTCCTTGTAGTTAATTGGGGTGGCAGACAAGGTGCCTAAGCTTCAGACAACTCACAAATAATCACGGAAAGTCAATTGGTTAATATTAAAGCCTGCTCAGAGTCACTCTGTAGTGGTCCCCAACACCTCAGGTCTACCCTAAACTTGTCATCTTCCTGCTTCTGCCACCTGCGTGCTAGGATGACATGCTTGTGTCAGTGGGCCCGGCCCTGGTGTGTTAATTTTCACTGTGCTGAGGCTTCCCACAGGCTTGTTTAGTGAACAGTACGAATAGCCCATTTTATGCACACCTGTATCCCCAGCCTGGGCTACAACACAGTTGTGAGCTCAAGGTGGCCCTCTGAGGCCAGCCTGGGCTACAACACAGTTCAAGCCCGGCCTAAACTACACAGTGAGACCCTGTCCCAAGAAACAAAACAAGCAGGCTGGGGATGTAGCTCAGCGGCATAAGTGCTTGCCTGGCAAGTCTGAGGTCATGAGTTCGATTCCCAGTACCAAAAAATAAAAATAAACAAAACAAGCCGGGTGTGGTGGCGCACGCCTGTAACCCCAGCACTCGAGAGGCTGAGGCAGGAGGATCATTGCAAGTTCGAGACCAGCCTGGGCTGCAAAGTGAGCTCAAGGCCAGCCTGAATTGCATAGCGAGACCCTGTCTCAAAAGACAAAAAACAGGGGCCGGGGATATAGCCCAGCGGCACAGCACCTGCCTGGCAAGCACAAGGTCGTGAGTTTGATTACTGGTCCCCCCTTCCCCCAAAAAAGACAAAAAACAGGCCGGGCGTCCTGGGGCACATCTGTAATCCCAGAACTCAGGAGGCTGAGGCATGAGGATCCTTGTGAGTTCGAGACCAGCCTGGGATACAAAGTGAGCTCAAGGCCAGCCTGACCTGCATAGCAAGACCCTGTCTCAAAAAGACCAAAAAAAAAAAAGAGACAAAAAATAAAACAAGCTTTAAATAGAATTTTAGGGCTGCGTGTGGTTAAGTGGTACACTTAAGGGCCTGAATTCCATTCCCAGCACCAAAACCAAACCCAGAGTTTCATCTGAACAATATCTAACTCTTCCTTTTCACCAGACCTCAAATGGCCCAAGTGTCCCCATCCCAAGTGAGACTCCCCACTGGTAGGTGCCATCTTGGGGGACCCATGGCTCTCACGTCTGCCTTGTGGCCAACGGCCTATGAAGGGGGAGCTACATGTGACGGAGCTTTGGGGATAGATTTCCTCTTTTTTTTTTTTTATTTCTTCCTGCTTACAATGCTCTATAGGATGGCGCTGATTCCCTTGCCAGATGTTTAGTTCAGATAAAGGCGACATCTGGAGTAGCGGCAGTCACTCCGAGACCACGAAAGGAGTACTATGCCAATACCAACCACAGCACAGATAGGAAAACTAGTTTCCCTAACAACCCTGAAGCCATGGTACCTTGGGAATTCTTGCTTGGGGCAATACTTTTTTTTTTTGTCTTTTTGAGCCACCTTGCTTGGCTCTAATAATACTTTCATTTTTAAAAGTTTTTTTTGGTACTGGGAATTGAACTCAGGTCCTCGCACTTGCCAGGCAGGCACCTGTACCACTGGGCTGTATCCCCCGCCCTTGATACTTTTTAGTTTAGCTATAATCAGTTTATTATAAGAGACGTGGAAATGATTTACATGATAAAAGACTGTAGAACTTCAGCGGAATGGGCATTGTGAGGCCATTTCAACACTGATTTCCTTCATTGTACGTATTTCCAAGAATGTCACCATCTCTAAATAAGAAATAGTCCTTGTCATCTAGAACTACCTTGGTGCCTCCATATCTGGAAGAACTTTATCTCCAACTTTCACACTAACTGGTTGGATCTTGACGCCACAGCTACCACAGTTGCCTGCAGTGCTTTGCTTTGAGATTTTTCTGGAAGCGTAAAGCCTCCTTTGGCGACAGCTTCGGCTGCACTCCTTTCAACCAATACTCGGTCAAACCGTGGGAGAAACTTCTGAAATGCCTGTTCCGCCCCGCACTCTGCTATCACACCGTGGCCTCTGCAGAAGGAACCAGCAACCCAGCCCCAGGACATATGAAAAGCTGATAATACTTTTTTTTTTTTTTTTGTCTTTTTGAGACAGGGTCTGGCTATGCAGTTCAGGCTGGCCTTGGGCTCACTTTGTAGCCCAGGCTGGCCTCATAAGCTTCTCTGAGGTGATGACTGAACCGAATGTGGAACAGCGAACGCCCTGACAGGTGACATGCAGACAGGATCGAGGGGACAGTGCACACACAGGACGCGGAGGCACAGGTCTGTTCCCGACGTGTATTTAGGTGGAACTGCAGCACAGAGCGGGGCACACAGCAGGGCAAGCGGAGGTCAGCAGGGCCGCCTGGGCCGACTCCAGGGCCTTCTGCAGTGGCCAGGGTGGGGAAGAGGCTGGTGATGAGGTGGCCAGAAGCCAGATGGCCCTGCCGGGTCACAACAAGAACCTTGGCCTTAAAAAAAAAAGGACCTCGGCCTTAGCCTCCAGGGAGGGGACACAGCAGCACTGCTGGCCCAGAGCAGGTAGCAGAAGGTCCCGAGGACCCACCCCAGCTTCCCCAAACCATCAGGAGCTGAGCTCGAGCGCCAGGCACAACTCGCTGCGGGCCACAGGGCAGCCGAGAGACCAGATGAAGCGGCTGAGAGCAGGCCGTGTGGGAGGGGGCGGGCGCTCCGGAGGGGATGGAGAGACAGGCCCACGACTGAGAGCTGTGGACGCCGAGACTGGAAGAGAGGGGCAGACGCGGGTCTGAGCAGCAACGTGTGGATGTCACTGTGTCTCCTCCTCCAGAGGCCACGCGTGTGGCCGCTCAGAGAAGGCTGACGGTGACACTTCATCCAGGAGGGACTCGGAGCACAGGGCCCCGCGGGTCAGAGGTGCTGGGAATCCAGCTGAGGCAAGGAGGGCAGCGGCTCTGGAGCCTTCTTTTCAGAAGCTTGCGCATCCTTCTGGTCACCGGCTGGAGCTGGGACGGGAACATCATCTGGAAATGACAGGAACCCGTGAGGGATACAACCAGGTTCCCCACATCCAGGCACCCAAGAGGCATGGCCCCGGCCTCCTCCCTCAGACCCAGGGTCCAGGCCTCGGCTCAGCAGGCCCCTGGCCCAGCGCAGCACCTGTGTCTGGGTGGAACTTGAGCTGGCCCTCGGGGTTGGCGGGGGGCGGGTTCTGGTCCTGCTGCTGCTGCTGCTGCTTCCTCTGCTCCATTTGCAGAACGGCCTGTGGGGGTGGGTGACAGAGAAGCGGCTCTGACATTGCAATTCCTAGACGCTCCAGCCTCAGTCCCTAAGCTGAGACCCCACAGCCACCTGTCAAGCGATTTCAATCAGGTCCCTTCTTTGTGGGCCTGTTTTTCTTTCCGACGCTGGGCTTAATGTTAGTTAATCCCAGTTCTCCGCCATCATGGCTGCGTCCCACCTGCGGACAGCGGAGCCGTAGCTGCCCCCTTCTTACATGGCAGCTGCAGCGCCGTAACGGCTGGGAACACAGCCAACCTCACGCAAGGTAGCTTGACCATTTGAGCACGGAGCAGCCTCTGGGGTTTCCACAGACAGAGGAGGGCCCACTTCCCGCCATCACCTGCTGCAGCTCCCGCCTCTGGGCCACCAGCTGGTCCTGTGACCGCCCGAGGGCCTCGGTCTCCCGGCTGAGGCGCTGGGCCTGGGCCTTCAGCTCGGCCTCGCGGGCGGCCAGCTCCTCCTCGAAGCGCCTCAGCTCCTCCTCCGTGTACGCGGGGTGCATTTCCACAGTCTGCGGGGCGGGACAGGGGTCAGCAGGGACAATGCGCGCCTCGGTCACCATGGTGACGAGGGGCTGCCAAGGGGCCCAGTGGCGGCTCGGGCCTGGCGGGACACCGGGCGTAGGGTAAAGAGGGACAGAGGCGGAACAGAGGTCCGGGGTCAGGGACAGAGACCTTAGATGAGGGACAGAACCTGAGCGCAGTACAGAAACTGGAGACAGGCACAGAAAGACAGACGGGTACAGGACGGGTACGGACGCCTGGGAGGGTGGGACAGCGGTCCACGGGGTGACAGAGACACGGAGCGGTTATTACTGGAGAACAGCTACGAGGCCCCCGAGCGACCCGTATCCTCACCTCCCATCCCTCCCCGGTGTCCCCGAACTCCTTCCTCTGGGTGGACGCTAGGAACTCCTCCAGGGTCACGAGGCGGTCCTGGTTGGTGTCCACCTGGGGAACCAGATCCGAGTAAGGACAGAGCTGGGGCCAGCGCCCCCACCCGGCCGCCTGCTCCTCCCTCTCACATTCTTCATCACGTGCTCCCGCATGCGCAGCCGCTCCTCCTCCATCTCCCGCATGTCGTCCTCCTCGTTCTTTGGGTCATACACCTTCTCCAGCTGCAGAGCCCAGAGGGGAGCGGGAGGCACTGAGTGGTCCGGGGCAACCCCCACCCCATGCCAAGTGACTTCAACTCCCAGCAGGACCTGAGGTGCACTACCACTCCCCACATCCTCTCCTGCCGCAGGGGCCTGCTGGGAATTGTAGTTTTTCCTCAGCACCCTCTTGGGGGCCCTCTGAGGACTGGGAAGTTCCCTGAGGGGACATGTGCTGCTCCGGGTGTCCCTGCCGGTTGCACTATGCGACCATGGTGGCATAGAGAAAGAAACATTACTTGGAGATGAGACTTAGTTCAATCACCAAGAGGGCCAGAGTGGCTCTCATCAAGGGCACCCAGTGTTAAGGAGACTCCCAGGGGAAGCGCAGAAGCTGAGAACACTTAGAACTGTCTCGGGCTGGGCAGTCTTCCTGGGGAAACGGGAGGACAGCAGCCACACAACAAGCTCTGAAATCTAAACTTCTTGTTGTCTAACCAATCAGTCCTCACAAAGCCCGCGAACTTTTCTCCCACAGCGTAACCACTCCCTCACCTCCTTGGTGAAGAGGGCCTCCAGCTCCTGCTCATCCAGGACCCCATCGCTGTTGATATCTGAAAGAGGAGAGGGCGTATCAGGGGACTGGGGACAGAGTGCACCTGGGCCCCAAGGGACAACTGGTAAAGGGTGCTTGGCTGCGGGAGGGTCCTTTACCAGAGGACAGGCGAGGACTGGTGTGTCGCTAGGACAGCCACTCCCTCGTGACCAAAGTCCCAACAACGGAGCAGACAAGGTCTGGCTCGCTCTCACACAGGACTCTTATCTCTAGCACCTGGGGTCCGATATCCTCCCCGAGAACCAGGCCATTACAACTCAGGCTGCCAGGGCAGCCGACACAGACAGCTGTGGAGTCTCAGGCAGCGTGACAGCCGCACGCCCCTCTGCCCACAGGTGCGCCGACCTCCCTCCTGCTGAGGCGGCCGGGAAGCCTGCTCCTGCAAACGCAAAGGTTAACTTCCAGCCTGCATTTTACTTGACATTCTGCCCTGGGCTGCCAGCACGTCCTGTGCTCTCTGGTTGCCCCTCCAGTCTCCTCTGCCAGACACCAGCTCGTGTGGGGGGCGCTGTGGCCTCAAAGCTTGGGTCTGGGGTCACATAATGACGCGAACGCGCTGTCTAGCACAGACGCAGGCCGGCACACGTTTACGTAACCATGGCTCAGTGGTAGCAAACCACACAAGCGCTGGTGAGGCCCAGCAGAGAAGAATGTAAGTAAGTGATAACAGCATATATTCTTAAGAAATAAACAAGACAGGGCCGGGGATGCAGCTCAGTGGCACAGAGCCTGCCCGGCAGGCAGGAGGCTGAGTTCGAGTCCCAGTACCGAAAGAAAGAAACAGTACAGACACAGCTGCTTGCTTTCTGCTGTCTGCTTTTTGAACTCACGCCTGACCCTCATGCTTTTTCCCTGGGGACCTCACCTGGAAAGGACCTATCTAGGCCCCCGGCCACGACAACTGTCACAGCTGGCAGGGTGGTTAGGTGAGTGTCCCCTCCCCGCCGGCTGAGGGATGGTGAGGAAGAGCCGGCCCCGAGCTCTGGGACCGGTACGTGGTCTGTGCGGAACCGGGGGCTGTTTTGAAAGCCTTAGCAGTAACAGGCACAGATCCCTCCCTCCCAACGTGAGTCGGTGGGGCAGGCGGCTTGGCTTTTCTTTACCCTTTCTCCCCACGTGGGGTAAGAAGCAGAAGCCCTCATCCAAGGGCAGGCAGGTCAGCTGAAGCCGACAGAAAGGACCTGGAGCAGCAGCTGGCTGCCCCGCACCCGCAGGGCACACCCAGCACAGCCTCCTGTGCAGCACCTCCCGAAGCCTCAGTCCCCATCTCTGGGAGGAGCCCCAGGAGGGTCCCCTGCTTTTGCATGCAAGGGCCACTATTTGCCAGAAGGTGGAGGTAGAGGAACCCCTAGCCCAAGGCGGGGGCAGGGAGGCCGCCCCGCCTCGACTCGCACACAGAGTACAGGACCTACACAGGCTTGGAGCTGCGAGAGCTGACAAAAGATGAAAACAAAAGGGAGTGAGACAGTGCCCGCGCGCGGCTGCTGCGGCGGTGGGACAACGGGGCCGAGGACACCGAGGTAAGCCCACAGGCGAGGTCTCAAGCACGCAGTGTAAGCAGCAGCCCCTCGGGGCACTGGCTTCTGCAGGAAGTACAGAAAACAGCCCTGCAGGGAGGTGAGCATACTGGTTAACAGCAGTGGCCTGCCTGGTGTGGGCGACCCAGCTGACCTGCCGGAGGAAGTCACGAGCAGTCCCCTGACGGGCCGGGGATGTAGCTCAGCAGCACAGCGCCTGCCTGGCAAGCACAAGGTCCTGAGTTTGATTCCCAGTACCAAACAAACAAACAAAACAAAAAAACCAGACATAGACAACCTACTTCAGCTCAGTGTCTGAGCTGAGGGGAACGGGCTGTGGCAAATGAGGCCCGCGTGATGCACACGTGTCGCTGATGAGGCATGGAGGACGCGCCCTTGGCGAGCAGGCTGGCCGGCACGGTCGGGACAGTGGCAGCCCTTCGAGCCCCCTTCATAGGTCCCCAAATCCATGGTGCTGCGGACACCTTAGCCCGGCTGGGAGACGTAAGAGTAAAGGCGCCGAGGTAAGGCGAGATCTGTACACACTCGCCAGCACAGGCCGTAAAAGCAAAGGAAAAACAGCGGCGGGGCAGGCGTCCCTGGACGAGTGGGGCCAATTCCCCAAGGACAGGCAGCGAGGCTGCTGAAGGTCAGCCAGTGCCAAGTTTGTTTGGCCCTGCTGGCTGTCAGCTTAGCCACAAAAAGATGGACAGGCCTTGGACATGTTGCCGACTCTGTGGCACCAGCTGTGCCCTGAGCAGCAGCATGGGCCCAGGGGCCTGGTGAAACAAGAGAAAGTGACCCTGACCTCCTTTCACCTGGACTAGGACACAGGCTGAGGCACCCAGTTAGTGGGGACCCCAGGGTACCAGAGGCCACATGTACAAGCAACTCTTTATTGGTTCCAAAAAAACACACAGCTGCCAGGTGTAGTGGCGCACACCTATAATCCTAGCACTCAGGAGGCTGAGGCAGGAGGATCACTGAGAGTTTGAGACCAGCCTGGGCTACCAAGTGAGCTCAAGGCCAGCTTGAACTGCATGGCAAGATCCTGTCACAAAAAGACAAAAAAACCCCACCACATACCATGTGCTAGCACTGATGGACACAGGCGCTGAGTCAATGCTAATTTCTGACCACCAGGACCCTATCACAGGTCTGGCCTTACCGTGGCGCTTTACACATGCAGACCCACGACACTACGCCGATCAAAGGCGTATGTGGACTTGCTAGGTTTCTGGCGGATGTTTATACCACACCTAGCTACCCTGCTGCGCCCCTTATACCTGACGACCAAAAAAGGCACGACCTACTGCTGGACAGATGCAGGAGAAGCTGCCTTTCAGGAATAAAACAAACAAAAAAGGCAGTCGCACAGACACAAGGCCTCCGGGTAGCAGACCCTCCCCTGCCATTTACCCTAATGGTGACGCGGATGAGGATGGGTGCGGCTGGGGCCTAGGGCAGAAACAAGGCAAGCGGAAGGACCCAACTGGGTTTCGGTCACAGTTATGGAAGGGGCCAGAAGCCGGTGTTCTCTGACTGACAAAGAGCAGCGGTGGAGGCTGCTCTGCACACCTGTGAGGGACCACGGGGCGGCAGGCACTGGCAGTGCAGAGTAAATACCCTGTAGAGGGCCGGTTCTTTACGGGGACGTCCCACCCGGGAGGGGAGTGGCCAGGCCCCCACCCTCACGTGCTGGGCGTGTACTTGCAGAGTGTGCCTTTTTCTCAGCTAGCCCGCTGTCAGCTGAATCGGCAGCTGTTTTGGGACCCGTGACATACACAGCACAGGAAACAACGCAGGGTGACAGACTGCAGGTCATGACTCCCAGCCCCCATGCGGCGGGAAAGAGGGGCCGGCGGCCGACGCCCGGTATACTAGTGGGTCCAGCCATTGTAGAGCCCCTCAACGGAAAGCAGTTGCTGTCCAGCCTACTACGGAAGTCGGGTTTGAAACTGGAACACGCAGGTCGATGTGTACACATACAGCTGGGCTGTATTTCAAGGGCTGACACTCCGGTTACCAGCCTGGGCAACCCTTACAGGGTGCTGACTTACAACTTACGGGAACATGGCCAAAACGTACTGGATCATGCATGCTGTAGGACACAAGCCCCTCTTCTCACCAAGGAGTGACTGAGCAGGTGCCTTGTTTTCCATGGGGACCTCACCTGCAAAAGTACCTCTCCAGCCCTACAGCCATGACATTCAGGCTGACCTCAAACTCAGGGCAATTCTCCTGCCTCAGCTTCCCTAGTACTGGGATTACAGGCATGCACCACTACGCCTGGCTTGAATTGCACTTTTTTTTTTGTCTTTTTGAGACAGGGTCCCACTCTGCAGTTCAGGCTGGCCTTGAGCTCACTTGGTAGCCCAGGCTGGTCTCAAACTTGCAAAGATCCTCCTGCCTCAGCCTCCTGAGTGCTGGGATTACAGGCATATGCCACCATGCCCGGCCTGCACATTTTAAAATAATTAACATCAGGGGCTGGGGATTTAGCTCAGCGGCAGAGCACCTGCCTGACAAGCGCAAGGTCGTGAGTTCGATTCCTGGTACCAGAAGAAAAACAAAATGAAAATAAATAAATAAATAAAAATAAAATAATTAACATCGGCCAGGCACGGTAGTGCACACCTGTAATCCCAGCACTCGGGAGGCTGAGGCAGGAGGATCATTACAAGTTCCTAAACCAGCCTGGGCTACAAAGTGAGCTCAAGACCAGCATGAACTGCACATTGGGACCCTGTCTCAAACACCAAAAAAAAGCCAAAAACAAACAAACAAATAAAAACAGCAATCCTTCTGCCTCAGCCTTCCAAGTGCTGGGGTTATAGGCATTACTTTTTTTTTTTTTTTTTTTTCATAAAATGGTTCAATCTGCCAGGTGTGATAGAGCATTCCTGAAATCCCAGCACTTCTGGGTTACAGAGTGAGATCCTCTTTCAAAAAACCCTAAATAAACTAGCTGGGTGTGGTGGTGCACGCCTGTAATCCCAGCACTTGCGAAGGTAAGACAGGAGGATCGTTGTGAGTTCGAGACCAGCCTGGGCTACAAAGTGAGTTCAAGGCCAGCCTGAACGGCATAGCGAGACTCTGTCTCAAAAAGACAAAAAAAAGAAAAGAAAAGAAAAACAAACAACAAAAAACACCTAGCCTGATCATGCTACCCACAGTAGCTACTTCATACCTCTTACCCCTTTCCCTTTTCTTGCAGTACCAAGGATTGAACCCCAGGGGCGCTCTAACACTGTGCTACACCTTAGCCCTTTTTTATTAAGTCTGGGTGTCACTAAATTGCCCAGGGAAGTCTCAAAATTGTGGTCCTCCTGCCTCAGCCTCTAGGAGTGCTGGGATTACAGGCCTGGCCAGGCTGACTTCTTTTCATCTCCTGAGACTATTAGAGGACTTTTTTTTTAAGAGGACGTATTTCATCAATTCTTGGCTGACCTTTTTCTCTTCTGTATTTTACCAAGCTTAAAATCGGGATGCATGTTACCATTTTAATTGGCTTTTGCAAAATGCTAGTACCTCTCACCCCAGCCTTGTGAGGCTTCCAATACGGTCCGATCTTAGAGGGGCTTAGAGGGGAGGAACGCTGAATTCCTCACGATTTTGTCTCCAGGTCTGATGCAGCCTGGTCCTCGGCAGCACTTAGTAAACATGGACAAGGCCCAGACCCGCTGGGCTCTGCGGAGGCCCTGCTCTCCCAGGCCGGGGGGCTGACCGAAGGGGAAGGTGACGCCGCTCCACCACCGAGACACGGCTCTCCAGGACCCTGGAGGCCCAGTCACAGGGCACAGCACAGCTTTCTTAACAGGGCCGCTCCGCTTGTAGATACTGGCCAGCACTTAAGAGCCCAGAGGGCGGACGTATCTCAGAAAAGAGGCCTGGCATGCCACGAAGACCCAGCAACTTCGGCACAGGGCTTGGAATAGTCAGAGCCTCAGGTTTGGCCTGGGTCTGCGACACCTGCCCCCTCCCCCTTACCATGCAGGATGAAGAAGGTCTTGGGGTTAAACCTGTTGGGGTCCAATCCATCCAGTTCTTCCCACACCTCCTTCAGCTGCGCTTGGCTGCCCTGTAGGGGGAAAAGCCAGGTGCTTATGAGCAAGGAGCCTGGGTGCCCTGGGTTAGAGCAAGAAAAACCCTATCCTTATCCAAGGAAGGTCACATTCCTCAATTAAGAAAAGTACAATTCCCAGCTGTGCGTGGTGGTGCACGCCTGTAATCCCTGCACTCGGGAGGCTGAGGCAGGAGGACCGTTGCGAGTTTGAGACCAGGCTGGGCTACAAAGTGAGCTCAAGACCAGCCTGAACTGCATAGCAAGACCCTGTCTTAAAGACCCCCCCCCCAAAAAAAGAAAACTACAATTCCCAACAGCCCCCAGGGGAGTTTGGTATAGTAAGTTTTTGCTCCAGAGGCTCCTGGGAGTTGTAGTTCTAACTACTTCAGTCCTATGGCTTCCAGGGTGTGAGGGCACACGGGGGTCCTTACAGGCACATTGACTTTGGGGTGCTCCCGGTGCCGGCGCTGCTGCTCTTCCAGCTTCCGTTCTGCCTCTTTCCGCTGTTCCTCTCCCAGGGACTCCAGGTACTGGCGTCTCTCATGTTCCTTGAGCATCTCATAGCGTTTAAACTCCTCGTGATGGGCCGCATCGTACTGCGCGAGGTCCCGGGTAGCCTGCAGAGAGCGAAGATTTGTAGAATTTCTGAATTCCAGCCCTGAAAAGGGAGGCCCTCGGCAGGGAAGCTGGCCAGAGGCAGGATGAGTTGCTCCTGCGACAAGGCCCGTAGCCTGGTCTCACTTTGTGTTCTCCATGGTTGCTCCTGCCCCGTGACACGCTGTCCTCTCTCCTCAAAAGCGATTATGACAACTGCACAAGAGAGACTTTGGCCAGCTCTTTCAAGTCCTCCAATCTCAAGATCTTGGAGGCGTGGCATGGTGGTGCACGCCTATAACCTCAGCACCTGCTGTCGCAGGAGGATTGCTCTGAGTTCGAGGCCAGCCTGCACTACACAGTGAGTTTGAAGCCAGTCTGAACTATGTAGAGACCCTGTCTCAAAAAAAAAGGGAAAAGAAGAAAAGGAAAAGCAGAGCCTGGGCCAGGCAGGGCCAACAGGCCAAGAGGTAGGATCAGAGCCAAAGAAGCCTAGCAGGTTCTCTGTGCTGCTAAGTTACCCAGGCCGGGCTTGAACTCGTGGCTCCACTGCCTCAGTCTCCCAGCGGGCTGGGATGAACTGCACCTGCCAGTCCCTTTTGCCATGAAGCACAGTCACAGATTCTGGGATGGGGACATATAGATGGGGGGGGCATCATTCAGCCCATGGCAAGGACACAGAGGTGACAGTTCCCACCCAAGTCCTACGGAAGGTCCAAGTCAGGGAGGGAGCAGACCCAGGTCGGAAGGATCTACAGGGTGCTCTGCCTGTATATCCTGCTTTCCTGTGAAAAAATGGGGGGTACTGGAGGAGGGTCTCACTATGTAGCCCAGGGTGACCTCAGACTCATGGAAATCCTCCTGCTTCAGCCTCCTGAGTACTGTGATTACAGGTGTATGTCCCACACCCAGCTTTAGGGCATGCTTTTAGATCACAGCACTGGGGATACTTTCAGAGCTGGGATGTAGGGCAAAGGTAAAGCACTTGCCTTGTGAAAAAAGAAGAAGGAAAAAGGAAGAAGGGGAAGAAGAAGGGAAGAGAAAAAGGAAGCAGAGAAAGGAGGGAAACCTGCCTAGAAATGATCCACCTCTGCCAGGCTCTGCCCTGGTCTGAGAGCAGTTCTTGCCCCCTCCTCCCCTTCTCCTCCTTTGCCAGGCTTCCCCTGCCACAGCCTCCATTCGCTTACCGTCTGGATCAGCAGCTCCAGGTCTCGGGCCTCGAATGTGTGCTGGTTCTGAGGGTCCAGGTGTTCAAACTGCTTCAGGAGATTCAGGTGATCCACCTGCACATCTGGGTAAGGAGTCAAACAGAACAATGCTCAGGCCAGGTGGGCTCTAAAGATGGTCACAGAGGGCAACAGAAGGACCCAGGAGGGCAGAGCAGGTGTGGGGCAATCAGGGAGGGCATCCTGGAGGAGGGGAACCTGTCACTGAGTCTGATGCTTAAAACCAGAATAGGTCCCTAGGTGCAGTGGTGGTGCACACCAATAATCTCAGTACTTGGGAGGCTGAAGCATGAGGATTCCAACTGCCAGGCCAGCCTGGACAATTTAAGACCCTGTCTCAAACTAAAAAAGGACTGCAGGTGTAGCTCAGTGGTACAGCATTGGCCTAGCATGCACAAGGCCATGGGTACTGCAAAACAAACTGAAGAAATGTGTGTGTGTGCATATATTATGTACAGATGTGTGTGTAGTCTTTGATATGAATGTGAAAAAATTATAGACTCACTCTAAGGGGACAGGGTATAGAAATAACAAGCACAGCTGGGCATGAAGCTCAGCCACAGGGCGCTTGCCTAGCATGTGGAGTGGGTACATAGGGGTGGGGGATCCACCCCCAGCACTACTTTTTTTTTTTTTTTTTTCCCCAGCATTACTAAAAAAATAAATAAATGATCATGATTTTTCCCCCCTGGTGCTGGGGATTAAATCCAGGGCCTTCCCAGAGCTACATCCCCTGCTCTTTATATTTTGAGACAGAATCTCACTGAATCACTCTATTGCCCAGATTGGATTGAATTTGGGATCCTCCTGTCTCAGCCTCCCAGAGCACTGGAAGGGCAGGGGCCCGGTAGCGTTCCTGGCTAAACAACCACAACATGTGAGGTAAAAATAAACTATAGAAATGGAAAGCAACCTGAGTAATGTAATGGTGCCAGCGAGAGAGCACACCAGGAAGGAGGCTCCAGTGAACCCCTGTCCCAGCCCCCGTCCCGGCCCCGGCCCCACCCTGCTCACTGGGCTCCTGCTTGGCGTCCATCTTTGCTTTGAGCAGCATCCGCAGCCGTGACACCTCCTGTCGCTTGAGCTCATCCAGCTTGGTACGGACGTGGTGGCTGACGAAGTCCAGCTCTCTGCTCAGCTTTCCGCTCTGCCGGGACAGGAAACGCTGGTCAGCCCCATCCTGTGCTCCATCCCCTCTTGCCCCTCGCCTTCCTCCCCAGGCCTGCAGGAAGAGGGCACGGCCCAGCCCCACATCCAAGGCCCTGCTGCCCCGAGCCTAGCCTGGCACACTTCAGATCCTACGCCTGTTCCCCACCCCAGGGTCCTGGCATCTGCTATTCCTCCTGTTGGGGCTCCTGCCCTATTTCCAACTCTAACCAGACCCTCGCTGTCCCTCAGTGTAAACAGCCTGTAATCCCAGGAGGCTGAAGCAGGAGGATTGCCAAGAGTTCAAGACCAGCTTGGGCTACATGAAGAGACACTGTCTGAAAAGAAAAACAGGAGCCACCAGCAAACAGCACAGGGCAGCGGAAGGTTCCCTCCGCACACAAGGTCTCCACGGGCCGCCTCCACCTACCACCTCCGTCCCATGGCCCCGAGCCGGGAGCCAGCCATGCTCCGTGAGCCCCTTCTGGATGCCCTCTTCACACGCCCGTCTGCATGGTCCCAAGGGGCTCCGGCAGCCACGCCCATGACGCCTGTCCGTCCCTCCAGCACACAGGGAGCACATGACAGGGTGATCGCAGAGAGCTGTACTCACAGCTGCAGGCACGCACCTGCCAGGGCCACCCTGTAATCTCAACTCAGATGAACACACTGAGGTGCAAGAGAGGCCTCCTGCCCCAGTTCTTCAGGCCACGAGCATGAGAGGCCAGGGGCCAGCCTCATGGCCACCCTGGAGTCACGTCTCCCCAACATAGGGGTACTCGGGCCTGTGTTCAAATCCTAGTCCATTTTTTGAGGTTTTTTTGGTTTTGGTTTTGGTTTTTTTTGTGGTACTGGGGATCAAACTTAGGACCTTGCACTTGCCAGGCAGGCGCTTGTACCACTGAGCTATATCTCCAGTCCCTCTAGTCCATTTTTTGAGAAAAAGTCTCGCTATGTGGTTCAGGCTGGCCTTGCACTAGCAGTGATCCTCCTGCCTCAGCCTCCTGAGTACTGGGATTCCAGGTGTGCACCACCACCCCCTGCTCCCTCAGATAATCTGACCCTGCACCCCATGACGCAGGTTTCACTACTACCCTTCTTTTACAGATGGAGAAACTAAGGCACAACAAACTGAGATCCCACACTGGTAGCAATAGTGCCGGGACTGGAAGGCACCTGAGCAGCTCAACCACAGCTTCTAGGTCCCAGATCCCTTCCCAGCTCTGTGACCCCAGGAGCTGCCTGCTTATCCCCGGGTCTCACCCCCAAATCCCGGAGCTCAGGTGCTGTTGCAGCCATGCAGCTCCTCAGGCCCCAACCCTGCCCCGTGAGCACTGTACTCCACGCCCAGTCGCACCTTGATGTCCTCAGCATTGGCGGCCTGCAGCTTCTCCCGGAAGTGCCCATCTGTCTCCAGCACATTGATGACCTCCTGGAGGTACCGGTGGTAGTACAGGCCGGTGTCCTAAATGACAAGGACATATAGCATATAGCATATAGCAGTCCCTCCCCCACCCTCCTCCAGGTCCTTCCCACAGGCAGAAACAAAGTGCTGCTCAAAAGTAGCAGCTGGGCAGCCAGGCATGGTGGTGCACATCCGTATCCCAGAACTCAGGAGGCTGAGGCAGGAGGATCACTGTGAGTACAAAAGACCAACTTGGGCTACAAAGTGAGTTTAGCGTAAGCCTAAACTGCATAGTGAGACTCTGTCTAAAAAAGACAAAAAGAAAGTAGCAGCTGGGGACTCAGGGACCCTACACACAGCAGGAGGCCAGCTTCACGGGACAAGGGCTCTGGGGGCAAGCAGAACCCAGTTCCAGCCCTGTCTGCTGTGTGATCTCAGGCAAATCCCTGACCCACCAGCTGCAGTGTTCAGGACCTCCCAGGCCTGTAGTGCAGACGAAAGGAAAATTATGTGGGTAAGAGCCGGGCGCAGAGGTGCAGGCCTGTGATCTCAGTACTCAGGAGGCTGAGGCAGGAGGATTCCTGAGTTCAAGGCCAACCTGGGCTACACAGTGAGACGCTATCTCAAAACAAAGAAAATCTCTTCAGTACACATTTAGCCCACCACCGCCCACAGAAGGGGGGCCGGAAGTGCCACTTGGGAAACAGTGAAACACACATTCACTGACTTGTTCCCTTACTTACTCTGCAATGAGCACTGCCAGAGCACTACCACGGGCCAGGCACTGCTGCTCTACGGGTGACAGCAAGGGACAAGACTGAGAGCCCTGGCCTCTTGCCTTTTGCATGCTTCACGCTTCCTGTCTGTAAGGCAGGCACCACAGTCACGGCCTGGTGGGTTGGTTCGAGGGCCTCACACACCAAACTCCACAGTCCCGAGCCCCTTACTAAAGGGAACAGTATTTGCAAACCACCTGCACATAGTCTCCTGGATATTTACTTACAGAGTGGTGCTGGGGATGGAACCCAGGGCTTTATGCATGCTAGAAGTGCTCTACCACTGAGCTACATCCACAGCTTTTTTCCTTTCCTTTTCTTTTTTTGAGACCAGGTCTCACTAAGTTGCTAAAATGTCCAGGCTGGGGTTGAATTATAGATCCTCCTGCCTCAGCCCCCAGAGTACTGGGATCACAGGTGTGCATCACCATGCCCGGCTTCTTTTCTGTTCTCGGCCTATTATGTTTGCCACTTTAGCACTCAGCTCATACTTCCTGACCGTCACCCGGGTGTCCATGCTCAGGAAGTCCTGTCCTGTCTTCCAGTCCCCAGTGAGCCAGGGTGTCCAAGATGTGGGGCTTTCCTATCCAGTGACTGGCATTATACCTGGCTTGTGGAAGGTGCCCAGGAGAACTAAGGGGAGGAGGACTCGAAGGGCCCCTCCATCTGCGAAGATTTCACAGCATGGGCCTAACATGCCAGGCAAGAACCTGACACACAGGCAGAATGAATGCTCTGTTCCAGGAGGCAGCCACAGGCCCATTCCTAGGGGGAGCTACAGGAGCAATCAGGACACAAACCCAGGTGCTTGCTCTTTTTTTTTTTTTTTTTTTTTGGTAGTTTTGAGAGAGGGTGTCACTATGTAGTTCAGGCTGGCCTCGAACTCACAATGATCCTCCTGCCTCAGCCTCCCAACTGCTGGGATTACAGGCATGCGCCACTGTGACCCGCTAAAGTGGTTGGATCTTTAAAGTTACAATTCTGAAAACCAAAGGTTTCATAGGGTTTGATAAACACCCGCTGGAATTAATAAACAATTCACAATAGGTGTGGTAGCCCACGCCTGTAATCCAGCAGTTGGGAGGCTGAAGCAGAAGGATCAATTTAAGTTCAAGGACAGCTTCAACTACACAACAAGACCCTGTCTCAGAACAAACAATAATAATAAGCCATTCCCATATCTTTTTTTTATAATGTGTTCTTTCATAATTTAAAAAAATTTTTATTTTGTGAGACAAAGCCTCACTATGCGCTGGGCATGGATGGGTGTGCACACCTGTAATCCCAACACTTAGAAGGCTGAGGCAGGGGGATTGTTGCCAGTTTGAAGCCAGCCTGGACTACAAAGTGAGCTCAAGGCCAGCCTGAACTGAATAGTGAAACCCTGTCTCAAAAAAGACAAAAAAAAAAAAAAAAAAAAAAGTCCACTATGTTCCCCAAGCTGGTCTCAAACTCACAGGGCAATCCTCCTGCCTCAGCCTCCCGAATGCTGGGATTACAAGCATGTGCCACCATTCCAGGCATGTTTTCCTTGTTTTGACCTCTCTCCCCAATTCCTTCTTAGGTAGGGAAGATCTTGAACAGAAAGGTTTAGGTGAGAGCGATGCAAGTTTTTTACTTTATTATGACTTGGCTTTCCAACCTAAGGGCCGAGGACCCCGTTTTTCACCAAATCGCCCCCGGCCCGTGTTACAAACAACGGCAAGGAAAGGGCTAGCCACAGCTACAAGCGGGAGATCCTGGAGTGTCCCTGGGGCTCCGGGCAAGCGGGGTCTGCATCCCAGGGCGCAGGCGGGGCCACTCACCGGGCTCTCGGTGGCGGGGCTCGGCTCCTGGTTGGCGGCGGCCCGCTCGATGGGCACGGGCAGCACGACCGGCAGCCACAGCAGGGGCGGCAGCAGGAGGACAAGGGCTCGGCGGGGCGCGGAGGGCGGCATGGCGCGCTGTGGGGGAGGCGAGGCAGGCTGTGGATGGTCCCGAGCTCGCGATCCGGGACCAGGGCAGCGCCCCTCCCAGGAATCCAGACGCAGTGCGTTTCGCGACCCGCGAGCCGGGACTCCAGGCCTCTCACCTCCCCTTCCAGCGACGCTCGAGCCCGGGTGCCCAGTCCCCACCGCCCGGGCTCCAGCGCCCTCCTCAGGCCGCAGCTCCTCCTTCCCCAGGCCCTACAAGTACTGACACCCAGCCACTCCTCCTCCAGCTCCGGGGGTCCCCGTCCTCCGGCCACCCTCCTCCCGGATCCAGTATTCAGAGACCCAGGTCCCCTCACCTCGCCTTTACCGCGCAGAGGGCGTTCTCGCAGCAAGGACCTCGAGCGCGTCTCTGCCGATTTCCTCCTAGGCCACGCCCACTTTCCCTGAAGAGAGCCCGGCCCAGAAGCCTGATTGGTCCTTTCGTCTGCGTCCAACAGCCCCGCCCCTCGACGAACTTGCTCGCTTATTCTCGAAAGCCCCGCCTCCCTCTCTGGAAAAGCCGGCGCCTGACGCAACGCTTCCGGCCTCCTAGGCGGAGGGCAGGACCCTTTGGAGGGAACTACAGCTCCCTGCGGGCTGGGAATAGGGGCAACTTCCGCGGGCGCCTTGGCCCTTTGCCTCACGGGAGGTGTAGTTTTCTCCACAAGTGTCTGCAAGTTAAGAGTTTGGTTTGTGTCAGTTGCACAGCCCACCTTATGCTCTTTCTTCTTCCCTTTTTTTGTTGGTATTGTGGAATTGAACCCAGATCCCTCGCAGTGAGTTACATCCTTATATCCACCTCCCTACGTAATTTTTTAAAAAATACATTCACTCAATAAATTGTTAAATTGCTTGAACTGGATTATTATTATTATTTTTGGGAGTATTGTTTTGTTTTGTTTTGTTTTTTTTGTGGGACTGGTGATCGAACTCACGACCTTGTGCTTGCCAGGCAGGCGCTTATGCCACTGAGCTACAACCCCAGCCCCAGTACTGGTCTTTTTCAGACAGGGTCTTGCTGTGCAGTTCAGGCTGGCCTTGAGCTCACTTTGTAGCCAGGATGGTCTCGAACTCACATCAATCCTCCTGCCTCAGCCTCCCGAGTGCTGGGATTACAGGCGTGCACCACCACACCCGATTTACACTGGTCTTTTTGAGCTAGAAGTCAAGTTTGAGCTAGCAGTGGGGGTGTCCGCCTGTAATACCAGCACTGAGGAGACTGAGGCAGTGGATCTTTGCAAGTTCGAGGCCAGCCTGGGCTACATAGTGAGACCATGTCTCAACATCCGCTGCCCTAATACTAAGCGATATGTGTAAGCGGCCTCTCTCGGGTCCCTTTAAGGAACACCGGCGTGCAGTGCAGTTCTGATCCAGAACCCCTGCAGCAGGTTGCTTGGCCGCAGTGAGTTCAGGGGTCATTGTTGGAAGAGGAGCGTGGTGGGCCAAGAGGAGGACCAAGGGCAGGTCCCCATGGGAATTTCCCCTCGGTTTTAACCCCTTTTCTTCCCCTGGAGACTTGCTCTCCAGTTTCAAAGAGAACGTCTGGGACGTTTAGGACGATGCTGATCAGGGTCAAGGCAGCCACTGAGGCTTGAATGTGAGTAAGCTCTCCCCACAGGCAGAACAAGCAGCGCTCCGGGATCCCAGGCAAGGGGCTGCAGGGGCCCTGGACTATGTGATGCTGGGTGTGTGGGCACCAGAGTCCTGAGTTGGAAACTGGAAACACACTACTGGGTCTCAGGCAGAGGGTGTGCTGGGATTGGGCTTCCTGAGTACCGGACAAAAACGAAAGTTTAGCCAGGCATGGTGGTGCACGCCTGTAATCCCAGCACTCGGGAGGAGGCTAAGGCAGGAGGATCACTGCGAGTTCGAGGCCAGCCTGGGCTACAAAGTGAGCTCAAGGCCAGCCTGAACTGCATATCAAGACCCTGTCTCAAGAAGACAAAAAAAGAAAAAAAAAAAAAAAAACCCTCAAAAAACCCCACACAACCACATGTGGTGGCCCACTCCTGTAATCCCAGCTCTCGGGAGGCTGAGGCAGGAGGATTGTTGCAAGTTTGAGGCCAGACTGGGCTACAAAGTGAGCTCAGGGCCAGTCTGAACTACATAGGGAGACCCTGTCTCAAAAAAAGAAAAAAAAACCCACACAAACAAAAAAACCCCAAGGGCTTGGAGCCAGGCATGGTGCACATGTCTGTAATCCCAGCATTAGAGAAACTGAAGCAGGAGGAGCTCCCCAAATTTAAGCCTTAATTACATAGCGAGAGCTGGGGATATAGCTCAGCGGCACAAATGCCTGCCTAACAAGTGCAAGGATCTGAGTTCGATTCCCAGTACCAAAAAAAATAAAATAAAATTTAAAAAAAAATAAATTACATAGTGAGACCCTGTCTATAAAAAGGAAATCTTGGCCGGAGGCGTTGGAGGGCAGCACACACTGAGATGTTGACTCTGGGTCCCAACTCCGCGAGTCCCCCGATGCCTCAGGAAAACAACTCTTGGATGAAACAGTGAGTAGGGAAGCCAAAGGGGCTGGCAGCGGAGAGGGAAGGGAGGACTTAAAGCTCTCTAGGTCCCCAAATTCACCCTGGGCCTCCCAACCACATATGGGGGCTCAGGACCATCAGCCTCACAGGGAGGGCCAGGGACCTGGACTCCTGGGTCCTAAAGGGACCAGGCTACTGGAAACTACAGAGGCTGTGCCAGGATTCCCTCTTCCTGAGGCAGCCGGGGCCTGGGTCTCTACTGCTGGACTTTAGGCTGGCCAGGCATGGGAGCTGAGCTTCAGAAGGGTCACACGAGGCAAGGTGCTGTGGCTTCTATGACCTCACAGTGTTCAGAACTCACTAGTCAGGGACGGGAAGGGGTTCTGGGAGGCCAGGAGCCCTGCAGGCTCTCACAGATGATCTGACCTGTGTTTCTCTCCAGGACTCTGACGGAGGAGCTCACCTCCGTGAGGCTACAAAAGCTGGATCAGCAGGTACTGTGCCCAGGTATCAAACCTCCAAAGAGCCCCATTGAAAGCCCCAGTACTTGCTATGGGTCCCTACACCCATGGTGGCCCTGTCTGGAGCTCAAGTCCTCCAATTAGGAAATGAGAACATAGGAATTGTCTTTTTGATTTTGTTTTGTTTTGTTTGTTTTGTTTTGTTTTTCTTTCGGTACCGGGAATCGAACTCACGATCTTGCGCTTGCCAGGCAGGCTCTATGCCGCTGAGCTAAATCCCCAGCCCCGGAATTGTCTTTTTGAGACAGGGTCTTGCTATGCAGTTCAGGCTGGCCTGGAGCTCATAGCTCACTTTGTAGCCCAGGATGGTCTCAAACTTGCAAGGATCCTCCTGCCTCAGCCTCCTGAGTGCTAGGATTACTGGCATGCACCACCATGGCTGGCCAGAAATTGGATTCTTAAAGAAGCAAATCTGGTGGAGACTCCTGGATTTCTAAGGAACAAGGGCTCTACAAGGCAGGATTTTTTATTTTTGTAGGGTCTCGCTATGAACTCCAGGGTGGCCTTGAACTCTCTAAACATCCCTTACACTCTTTGGAGGTGGGGACCAAGTCCCCAGGGGAAGAATTTACAATAATCCTCCTGCCTCAGCCTCCCAAGGCGTGTACCACCATGCCTGGGCTAGGACTTCTAGATCCTAGGAGGAGACGACTGGGTGCTCGGACTCTTGGACCTAATGTGGCCTTGGGAACCTGGCGCCACTGTAGGAAGCTGTTCTCAGACTCCAAGGGCCCCCTCACCCTATCTCTCTTTTGGTTTTTAACCCCACTTGTCCTCCTGCAGCGGAGACTATTTGAGAAGAAGCAACGGCGGAAGCGCCAAGAACCACTCATGGTTCAGGCCAATCCGGATGCTTCCTTGGGGCACCGGCGACTGCAGTCGGAGCACTTTCCTAGTGACACAGGTGAAAAGGGCTGAGGGAAGGATTTATGGGAGCAGGGGCGGGGCCTAGGGAGCGCTTGAGGGGCGGGGCCTGGAATCCGGGGCGGGGCCGGCGATGGCGGGGGCGGGGCCAGAGGGGCTGGCTGGGTGAGGGGTGGAGCCTGGGGGAACAGGGGCCTCTCGGGAGTCCCCAAAACGGCCAGACTGAGCGGCGGTTGGGCCGAGTCATTTAGACTCGAGGTCCTAGAAGCGTGAGAGCCGGTGTGGGGTTTTTCACCGAGCGCTCAATAACCTAGTGGAAGGGCCGTCCTGATTTGAGCCTTGGGATGGAGTTTGGGTCCTGCGAGAATCGGGGTTGTAGTGGTCAGAACATTGGGGCCAATCTCTGGGAGTCCAGTGAGCGGCAGATCTTCACGGAGCACCAGGATTTGTACCTCGTTTCCACGAGCCTCGCCGCGCCTCTCCTTGCAGGCCCGGCTCTCCGGGAACGCGTGCCAGAGGCACGTCCCGACTCTGATTTCCACAGTGCGCGGTGCGCCTCTATGAACTGCGGTGGAGATGGCACCAGCGAGTGCTGGGCCCTGGGGTGGCCACCTACGCAAGCAGGTAACCTCGAGGCCCGGAACCCCTGTGCTCCCCAGTTCCGCCTGGTGAGGACGCCCAGAGGCGGAAACCCCAATCCTGGTTCTCCAAAGGGCTCCGGAGTTGTCGGTCCCACGCCTCCCCGTTCCCCGGAGGAGGTCAGGTCCTGAAGCTCCTCATCCTGACGCAGGAGTCCCAGTCTCCAGCTCTTCCCTGGCCAGCACAGCAGGCTCCGGAACCCAGCTCTACCCCCATCCCAGCCTGGCTCCCCGGGGGTGGCATTCAGGTTGGAGGAAGTCACATCCTGTCCCACCCTGACACCCCCTCTTAAGGAGCCCTCAGCATCTCTTCCCAGGGGTTGCTCAGCCACCACCAACTTGGGAATTTCCCTGATCTGTGGGTATATCTGGCCCCTGGTGCATCCTCCTTCCTGCGGCGACAGCTTTATTGAAATGTAACTCACATGCCCATTCACTTATGTACAGTGTACAAGCTCATGGCTTTTACTATATTCACAGTTCTACAACCATTACTACAGCAATTTTAGAAAATTACTCATCGCCGGGCATGGTGGCGCACGCGTGTAATCTCAGAACTAGGGAGGCTGAAGCGGGAGACTGCTGTGAGTTCGAGACCAGCCTGGGCTACAGAGTGAGCTCAAGGCCAGCCTGAACTGCATAGCGAGACTCTGACTCAAAAAGACCAGAAAAACCCACAAACAAACAAATAAAAAAGAGTAAAAGAAAAAACTGACTCTACAGAGGGAGCTTGGGCTAAGTAAAAGATAAAATAAGCAAGATAAAGACACACTTCTCTGCCTTTTGGCTAAGATCAAGTGTAATATCTGTTCTTACCAGTTTAAGATAAAGGCACACACTGGAGGACACAGGCTGGGCTATTGTGAGGAAAGTCACTATAGTGAGCTGTTCTTGGTGTCTGTTCGTTTGTGCTGTTCAAATCTCGAGGAAACCCAGGAGAACTTCTACATACAGGTCCTGTGAGGTGGTGCTGCGGTTCCACACCTCAGGCTGACATCAAGTCTAGGCCATCCTTTTTTTTTTTTGGTTATGGGGAGTGGAACACAGGACCTTGTGCTTGTCAGGCAGGCGCTTGTGCCTGCTGAGCTACATCCCCAGCCCTAGGCCATCCTATTGAAAACCTGGTCAAGTTCTCTGGAGAAGACCATGTGCAGGGCTGTGGGAGTTGTTCTGAGCATTTGTTCGGGGATCTTGTAGTTGACAGGTGACACTTACTTCCCTAGCCAGCTTTGCCATGCACTAATCTCCTCTCTCCAGAGGTCTCTTAAGTGGCATCCCCAAATCCACCCCTGCATATTACTTCCGGTCTCTCTGACGCTCTGGATGGGACAAGGGAAAGAGAGGACTAGATGGTGCGAGGGTCCCAGTAGTGACAGAGTACTAGCCAAGCAGCTCCAGGCCCTGGATCCACTGTGGGGTGCAGTAGGGCGGGGGACTCTAACCCTTCCCAGTCCTGGGGCTCAGGGAAGTCCGCACTTCTCAGTCCTGGCACTCCATGTGCATAGAGGCGGACAGGATGTGACCGTGACAGCGGTGACTAAGAGGCCTTCCTGAGAACCCAGGTGTTCTGGCATCTCACCTAGCACTGAGGACCTTGACCCCACTTCCTGGGACCCGGCGTACTGAGCGCAGTCCCTGCCTTTTCTCTCCCTCTTAGCAGACAGTGCATACCACCAGAGTGAAGCCCCAGCTGTGGAAGGTGAATACCAGCAATTCAGGTGGGGATCAGCCTGTGGAATGGATGGTGACAGGAGAAGACATGGAGACACGATATTCTGCAATGTGAGATGGGGCACGATGCTAAGAGCATAGAGAGAAGAGAGAGAGACTCAGACATGTGGGGAGGGCGGGACACAATTCTGCGGGCCAGTCAGAGGTGACAGAGAAGGCGCCGCTTCGGTGTTGGTGAAGGAGCGGTAGTCTCACTGGGCAGATCTGAGCTGTGCCGTGTATCACCTAGAAGACTGGCTGGGGATGTAGCTCAGTGGTGCAAGTCCTTGCTTGGCAAGTGCAAGTTCCTGAGTTCACTTCCCCGTACAGAGAAAAAAAACAAAACAAAAAAACACACACACACACACACACAAGCCAATGACACTATCTAGCAGACTGGGTTTCAGTGGAACGAGCGGGGCTCTCAGTGATTCTCCAATCAGAGGGTGGAGTGGACCCGGCTGAGGGGGAGAAGCTAATGAAGTTAGCCAATCCACAGACGGAAACAGGTGGGCCGGGTGAGATGCTGGACCAATACGTAGGAGCCATAGGTGACAGCAGGGCGTAACCTTGAGCTGGTCTGGCCAATCACGAGTTGGCAAGGCTGAGCCTAAATTTCTCCCTCAACTTTGAATTTGGCCCGAGCTAGGACCTAGACCTGGAAGACCAGAAAGAGCAGTTGCACTGTGTGGCAGTGAACTCCCGAGAGGAGGAGGACCACGAGGACGTGCCCAGGGCCCCGGAAGATAAGGACAGCCGCGATGTGGGGACCGCGGCCAGCTCGCTGCCTCCGGACCTGGTCCCTCAGCTGGGTGAGGACCTGAAGGCTTACGTACTGCGGCCGGTGCTGGAAGGCCGCAGGGTGCAGTGCTGCATCCGCCGGGACCAGCGGGGCCTGGAGAAGGGCCGGTTCCCCGTGTACTACGTCTACCTGGAGGCGGACAGCGGCTGGAAGGTGAGGACCAGGAGCAGGTCCTCCCCTTAAGCAGCAAAGGTCAAGATTTTCAGGAATCCAGGCCACTTGTCCATTCCAACGCCAAGCCCTGCCCTCTGCTGTTCTTGTAGTTTCCTAGGCTCTGCCCATGCCTTCACCAAGCACGGCCCATTAGCTTGGGCTCAGTTGGTTTAAAGTCAGGCCACGCCCCCAAGTTCCTACAGCCCCGCCCACTCAGGCTCTCCCATCCCTGGGCTAAGCCCCGCCCCTAGACCAAGCCAGCCGCCTCCCAGTGTGGCCACCTCTCCTCTCCTCTCTCTCTTCTTTCCTTCCTTTCACCCTCCCTCCCTCACTTCCTCCCTCCTGCAGAGAGGCTTTTCACTGGCTCAGATCCAGACCCCTGATGAGGGCCCACGTCCTGCTGCGGGGTTCAGGCCGCTCTTCCCCACTCTCCAAGCCAGGCCCTGCCGGCGCGGGTGGAGGGAAGGAACGGACAGCTTGAGAGGCAAAGCTGCCCTCCAAGCCCCAGGTGGTGGTTCCCCCATGAGATCACCTCCCAGCACGACTGGGGACACTTAGTGTGCTGTCACCCTCTCCTCAGTCGTGACGTAGGGCATTTCCTCTTCTTGGACTCCCAGAAATCCATTCTAATGGGCTGTTTCTTAAACCTACAGCACTTCCTCCTGGCTGGGCGCAAGAGAAAATGGAGCAAAACCTCTAATTATCTCATTTCCTTGGACCCGATGGACCTATCCCGGGATGGGAACAACTTTGTGGGCAAAGTCAGGTGGGCGGAGCCCTGACGTGTCGTGAGAAAGGAGGCAGGGAGGAGACAGGGACTGTGATGCCGGAGTCCTTGCATCCTGGAAGGAACCCAGTTCCTGAAGGGCCAAGGGAGGAGGCTGGAAGGTGTGGTGTGGAGAAGCCGGGAACCTGACCTTTCACCTGGGGGGCTGATTTGGGGAAGCTTGAGGTACAGTCAAGGAGTAACAGCAGGGCGAGGTGGCGCAGGCCTGTAATCCCAGCACTTGAGAGGCTGAGGCAGGAGGATCCCTACAAGTTCGAGACCAGCCTGGGCTACATAAGTGAGCTCAAGGACAGCCTGAACTGCATAGTGAGA